AACAAACAAGTACACAATGGTTACCAGGTCAGTGGGATGGTATTCACGACAGCGCCCTTCACACCAGCTGCACTCTGGGTTCTTGAGGCACATACTTTCATCTAAAGCCTCTGCACAAAGAGCATCCTGGTGATAAAACCAAAGAGTTGTCATTAAGTCATAATGTTTTAGATTCTTTGTCTTTCACTGTCCTCATATCCAAATCAGATCTACCATTCCATTATAACCTAGTGTAGGAAATTCCACAAGTATAGTATGCAGGATATACAAACAAATGGTGATCATGTTGGTGTAAAAAGCATTCATCTGTTATACACTATGAAGACCAGATGGAACCATTTACCATTGCCTGTAAAAGCCTATAAACAAAGCTGGGCTTAAGGTTAGCCGGGTTAGCCTTAAAATGGAAAAAAACTCAATTAAAGACAAGGAATTTTAAAACTAAGCTATTTTCCATTGAGATGAATTATTTTTAGAGACCAGAATTAATCAGAAGTCTGCCTGAATAATGCCAAATGACTGAATTACGCTCATTTAGGTTTAAATGCAGACCACTATAGCAAGGAGGGACTGTTTATTTCCTGTTACTGTTAGTATCTAGTTGGGCTTACAGTACTTTACTCACCCTGTTGCCACCATCACTACTGACAAACAGCGGAACTTTGTACGCCACTAGATCTCTGCGCGCAACACCGCTGTAGCCTCCGCTAATAAGGAGCACTCGTCCCTGTATAACAGCAGCGACATGAGAGTATCGTCCCTGGACTGCATCACCACCTAAAACAAAGAACAAAAAAAAAAAAAAAAAAAAAAGGGTGGAGTGCTCATTTTCAAGTTATTTCAAGTGAAGCAGCCCAATTTTATTAAATATTATATATATACGCCTCGTCAAAAACAAGGATAAAAACCAACAGGAACTCACGAAGTGACCATCTCTCCCCGATAGACACCCACTGATGACAGCCTAAGTGGTAAAAGAAAATCTCTTCATCGTAGCACTTCTCCTCTTTGTGGTGAATATGTATGTTTCCACCTGAGGGGGGAAAGAAAAGGGAAAAAAAAAAAACAACAACGTTATATAGTACATTATAAACTCAAGTTTATTTGAGTAAATAGCGTCTGCTATTTTTTGTTTTTGTTTTTTGTTTTCCAAATCTCACCAAAAACTACCATGTAGTTTCCAATGACAGTGGCTGTATGAAAGGCTCTCTCCCTCGGGCCGGGGAACCGCGATCGGAGGGACGTCCAAAACCGCTTATCTACGTGGAACATGTCGGTGTTGTTCACCCTCTGGCTAAACCTGGCCCAAAAAATACAGTGTAAACGTGACTTCTTGATAGAACCCCTCATGGGATTTTTAATGGTACCAAACCATGTAGTGAAAACACTGCGAGGATGTTTACCTGGCAGTGGTGGGTCGATGACCTCCGTAGACCAGAAGTGTCCTAGACGGACTATGGAAAACCATAGAATGTCCAGCAGTGGCAGGGGGTTTCCCCCCAGTGGGCTTAATGGTCTCCCACCGCCCAGACCCACGCAGGCCAAACTGATACAGAGTAGAAGAAAACTTATCCTCCTCGGTGCGACCTGAAAATTGTATTATTTCATTGTAAAAAAAAAAAACAAAAATTCAAACATGATACTAATGAGAGCAATTCGATGCAATATCTACCTCCAAACACATAAAGATAATCATCTACCACAGCTGCAGCATGGTTGGCTAACTTAGGGGCTCCGTGACTACTGGAAGAACCGAGCTGATGCCAGTCATCGTGAAGTGGCCTGTACATCCACACATCACTGGCCAAAGACCCACTGGATAGCTCTCCTCCAAATATCACCATGTTACCATTCCATTCTACAGCTGTGTGGGAATGACGAGCCACCTGGCAACACCAGAGCAGACAGTTAGGGAAGGAAGGAAAAGACATATATTTGAACTTACTTTACGTACACATGCAATTAAAAAAAAAAAACAACATTAATAATAATAATAATAAAGAAAATATATGTCACTAAACTCCCTGGATTTTTGACTCGCCAATTGATCTGTTACTGTACAAAATATATCTCTGGAGCATAAGAACCAAAAGCATTCACTTACGGGAGAGTGGCCGTAAGACCTGCTTTCCCATAGGTTGGATGTAAAATTGTATTTAATCAAGTCAGCGAGAGCTCTGTTCAGATCAAAGCCTGAAAACATAATAACATAATCAGTGCAGTGTTAGTAAAAAATGCAACGAAAACAGGTATTCACTTCTTTTGCAAATGCCCTTATAGAGACTTAGGGAAACAGACAAACTCGTGTGTTGTATGTACGTAGGAACACAAGGCTAACAATAAAAATAAAAAAAAAATTAACAAGAGGGATTACATCTATTCAAACTTTATTTTGAAGCAATGCAAAAAAAAAAAAAAAAAAAAAAAAAAAATGCAAATTTTGTACTGACATCAATGGAGCTCCCATAGGAAAATATCAGACCTTTTTTGAGTGAATGAAGTGCAAATCAACCTTCGTTGTTGGGTTGCATTAGGACTAGCTAGTTTTTATGAATCATCATATTCTTAGGTTATTACTATTATTAATAATAATAATAAGAAGAAGAATAAGAATACTTATGTTAAAATGAACACGTGAATCCCACTCACCTCCAAACAAGTACAGGGCTCCTGTGGAGGACAGATACACCCCAGCAGAACCTGTTCTGGGAGGCGTGTATTGGTTACCGTCACTTACACGCCACCATTGGCCCACACTGTTGTCATCATTGAGCCCTAGTTGACAGCTGTGACCCAAGAAGCCTGGGTTACACAGGCAGCGCTCTCCTTTCTGAACAAAATCATAAAAAAAAAATAAAAAAAATAAAGAGTCTTAGAGCGGTTATCTGTGCCCCCAAAACAGATATATATTCAGGATAGGGCTGGGTGATATATTAGGTTTTTAAGACATAAATATACAGGGGTCCCTCTCCTATCGCGGTAGTTGCGTTCCAAGATCCACCGCGAATTGGGAAAAATGGCGAAGTAGAGGCGAGATAATTATTTACGTATATATATTTACTCTTTTTACGAACCTCCCCCACACTGTCATCAACCCTCCCTGGACTGTGAGCAGTTATCTGTGCCCCAAAAAAAGATATATATTCAGGATAGGGCTGGGTGATATATTAGGTTTTTAAGACATAAATATACAGGGGTCCCTCTCCTATCGCGGTAGTTGCGTTCCAAGATCCACCGCGAATTGGGAAAAATGGCGAAGTAGAGGCGAGATAATTATTTACGTATATATATTTACTCTTTTTACGAACCTCCCCCACACTGTCATCAACCCTCCCTGGACTGTACTACACAGTAGAGTTGTATACTGAAAATACAAAACATACAGTACATATTAAATAAATTGAATACACGACCACCTATCGCGGTAGTTGCGTTCCAGTACATATTAAATAAATTGAATACACGACCATAAAAAAAGATGTAAAATCTAAAATAGCGACAACCGCCTGACTCTGGAGATGCGAACAACAGTGCCCTCCTGTGTCCAACTTAGGTCATTACCCCACGTTAATTAAATGCTCACCATATACATTAAAAATTACATTAAAATTTTGAATATTGTACAATATTGTACAAAATATTGTACATTAAAAATCCGCGATGTACTGCACTCTTACACCAACAATGATACATTCTTATTCTTCCTTAAAAAGGCCTGCTATGAGTTTTACTCTCGCCTATATGTGAATTTTTGTTGTTGTTTTTCAAACCTTGTCACATTGCCCATTCACAAAACAGTCCTTGGTACACAGAGGGGTTGTACAAGCAGCTCCTCCCCACTCCTGATGGCACTGGCACTTGGATGTGGACGGATCACAGCGCCCGTGCCCACCACAGGCTCCGGGGCACAAAGAAAAGGTGTAGGTTGCATTAAAGCCTAGGAGGTTGTAGTTAGCGTCACTGAAAAGATGAAGCAGCATCTGGAAACAATGACAAATGAAGAAAGGAAATACAAAGTTCAGATACCTGCCGCAGCTTCTTATCAAGGATCTTATACAGTTAAGTGTTTATTGCTTACCTTGCCAGACTTGGCTTCAATCGGCTGAGGCAGAATCCTGCCACTCAGACTGGCAAGGAGGGGGCTCTGGTAAGAATCACCGTCATAAACGAAAAGGTAATCGTACGTGCACTCTGTTTCCATGAAGGTGAAGTTCAACACGATGCGATGACTGCTGGTGGGGGCTGAACGAAACACCGCAGAAGGTAAAAGCATTAGTGTCATTAAAATCAAACAATTGGATATTTTTATTAAAAAAAGAAGGCTCTCTCTCTCTCTCTCTCTTTTTTGAGGAATAGTCGATTTTAGTGTTCAAAAGTATATTGTAATAACAAATTCATTCTGAACGGGTCTGAGCTTCACTTTGATACTATCCTTGAAGACATGGCTGACATATGAGGATACATGGAAAAATCAACAGTGGCATAAAAAACACCTCTACTAAGACAACAGAACGCCTCTGCTTTTCCATATACATATATATACATATATAGATATAAATATATATATGTACATATATATTTATATCTATATATACATATATATGTATATATATATTTATATATGTATATACTGTATATTTATATATTTCTATATATATGTATATATGTGTATATATATGTATCTATATATATATATTTATAGATATATATATTTATGCATATATCTATATTTATAGATGTACTATTCCTTAGGTCCGAAATGTGGCTTAAATGTTATGTTTGCAGCCGACTATCATGTCATTTTCATCAGTTTGTATTCATAACCCTTAACAAAAATCACTGTCTGTAATAGAGAAATGTAAACTGGTAATTTTGCATTAATACATTGAAAGAATTTGAGCCGTGAATCCACTACCCAGTTAAATCCGGTTTGGGCTCTGTAACCGACAATCTTCGATAAACTCTCATGAACACTGTCACAATTTGTTTAGGTGAGGATACCTTTAATGAGCCACTCGCAGTTCCCATTGACTGAGTAGTTTCCTGGGCCGTCAGTAACATAGCCAGGGGGACCCCTCAACACCTGCCTGTGGCCCTTGCAGTCCCCTGCCTGGCAGACAGCTGACTTAGCAAGTAGCAGAACAGCCAGGATGATGGAGACAGGGAGGGGAGGGCCCATCGTTGGCACAGCCTGAGAGATGGATGGATCAACAATTGTATAAATTACATTCAAATACATTTGTTACCATCTTTGGAGACAATAGAAATCGTCTCGAAATAGAAAAGTGTCATTTTTGGCCTCTCAGATGACTGATGTTTTATTTAACTTTTTTTCTGTGTACAATATACGTATTGTGTTTCACGACTATTTTGCCTGGGATGAAGTTCAGAAGAAAACTAGTAGCAATGGGACATAAGCTGAAAACCAACTAGGCACTAATGAACCAAAACGTATGTACTTTTTATCCATTTTTATAACAATAATATAAAATGTTTTCTTAATTATTATTATTTTATATTATTAATATATTTGTTTATATCTGTTTTTGATGTTTATATAGGAGGAAAAAATAATAATATATTTCTGGGGGGCTGGAACGAATTAATTGATTTTTAGTTATTTTTAATGGGGAAAAGTCGATTGGTTTCCCACAGGCAAAAAGAATCATGAGAAAGTACAAAGGGATAGAATTTTGCAAAACATATAATGCTGAAATTTCAATAGGGGGCGAAAAGTCAACTTTACAGTCATAGCCATAAATATAACGGTATTTATAATTGGCATAATCATTTCTTTCGGTGTTTCGGTTTTCGGCCTTGGTTTCCTCGTTTTCGGTTTTCGGTTTCTTTTGCCTAGAATTCTAATTTCGGTGCATCACAACAAATAATACTTCTCTGGCATTGTGCTGTCTAGAACCCCAGGCGTTTCACACCAGTTTCTCACACTACTGTGTCATGAAATGTTTTGATAATGCTTTTAGTTGGTTTTAGATTTTAAACAGTCGGTGCGAGTGACGCAGGCAAAAAACAAAAGTCGGCGAGGAGCAGCTGTATTTAGTCAGCAAAAAAGTAAACAAAAATCACTGTTGGCACATCTGCACCGTGTTGCAATACCATAAACATTATTAATCAACTAAAGTTCAAAAATCATAATTGAAATATTGAACAGTTAATCGTTTATTGTAAATAATATTTGCAACTCAATTTCACCTTAATAAAAATGTTTTGTAATGTTAGCATACACATGTGTACTATGGCTCCATAAATATGTCTTTCTCCTGAGGAGAAATGGTCTTTTTTTTCTACGTAACGAATCAGTCACGTAAGTGAAGGGTTAGGGGGAATGTTTAGGTTTTGCACGTAAATATAATCGAAAGATGGAGCAGGGAATAACTGTAATCAGAACTCATATCAAAATGACGTCTATCCAACCCAAGCCAAACAAATAAAATAAAGCTTCTAGAACGGGTACATTGAGGGCAATGCGTCTTTCATTAAGTATGTTACGGTGCAGTGTAGTGTATTATTAACAAAGCTGTACTGTAACATGTAAGCATTTCTTTTGGCTAAATGACCAACTGGGAAAAAAACGTAGAGTCCGCTTCGCGACGTTTAAATGTAAAACTACGCCGTTTCTACATAGTAAACGAAACATGCAAACGTCGTATTTAACGAAAATATCAATGTTAACAGTCAACACAAGCTCGCATTGGTCAAGGGTAAACCAGCAAGCCGCTGACCATCAAGAGGCTCCTGTCCGGTTTATCATAACAAAGCCAGGGCAAGGGAATGCTAAGCTAAGCTACAGTTAAAACCGCTATTCAGTCCTGTTTGCATTATTTACATTCCACTCACCAGTTCCCGTCTCTTTGGCTTCATGATGATTTACATTTTCGGCGTGTCCTTTCCATGTAACACTACCCGAGAGGACTTTGTGGAATACCAGCCTGAAGCCCTACAGCTAACTTAGCTGTTAGCACGAATGAGATGAAGACGCAGCGCAGCGGAAGCCGAGGAGGCTGCAGTCGAGCCTTGGTGCTGCGAATGCTAGCGGTCGCCGCTCAGTCGATTCCAGATGCGCAATCGTCCGCAGAATCTACCGAAAACAAGACAGTCTCTCAGAATGCCATGACTGCGCGATTAGAAAAATGCTATCACTGTATCCCCGATTTCATCATCAAAGCAAGAAATATAGCCATAAGACAAGTTGTGAATACAATTAAATTATGTCTGTTGCCGTTGTTTCGGGAGCTACAGAGAGTAACCAGTGGTTTCTAGCACAAAAGACAACAGCCTGCTTGTGTTACAATACTGCTACCTAGTGGTGATAAGGAGGAACAACAGGCAAACATCAGGACAGAAGTCATTTATTTACCAAATGTTTGAAAAATGATTGTTTCATTATAATCACGTACATTGGTAGTAGAATTATTAAAAGATAGACAGATAGATGAATGGATGGATGGATGGATAGATAGATAGATGTTATCAAATGCTCACTACTGTATGAGTATGATCATCAGCAGGGGCAATTACAATTTCACATCTCACGTGCAGCAGGAGTTTTTACATGACATTTGAATTAAATTGAATGTTTTTAAAAATCATTTTAACAAAGTTTAATTATTAGTTTGGTGATTTTAGTGTCCACATGAATTGAATGGTGCCAGGTGTGATCCTAAAAACGGCCATATTGAATAATAAGCATTTAACAACCAATAAAAAATAAAAAATAAAAAAAAACCCTTGTTTTTTTGACAGACTTTATATTTTTGAACACCTTTGCTGTCTCTGTATCAGGTGAACTGGTACATGGCAAAGACAAAGTCCTTTTACTATCAAAAATAATTTCTGTATATTTTAATTTTGGCTGTGAATACTTTTTTGAAATGCAAGAACAAAAAACAAAACAAAACAAAAGACATATACAAATCTTAATTTTATCCTTTTTCCCCCCAGACTTCTTGTTGGGAACTGTCACCTCTCTACGCAGGTCTTTAATCCTGGTGGGGGCAGAAATGTCTTATGAACAAAAAAGGGGGCACAGCAGAAAAAGTTTGGCAACCACTGATTTAACACGAGCTTCTCTTAACACGCCTTTGTTATGTTAGGATATGGCCTAATTAAATGTTCACTGCAGATTTAAGAAATCCTCTAGTCTCTGTGCTGGTCTTTCATGATATGGCCACAGCTGTATTTCCCTTCAAGCAGTATCATTGGTTCACTGTGGAGCCCAGGGCCAAAAATAGGAAAGAGTTTTTCATTGAATTTGTGTGTGAAAGTGATAAGGTGTTTATCATTCTCTCCATCCCAAAATGACACCTCTCCTTTATCTATGTTTAACTTGACGCGAATCCTTTTGGGACGTGACTGCAACTGCAACTCGGTGCGCTCCGGTGTGGACGCAGTGTAGACCCCTTTGCTGTGGCACACGGACCAAACACCCCGGTTTGTGGACACTGTGAATTTCTTTTTCCGGGCCACCGACTCTTTGCATACTCCCACCATCCACTTTGGGTTGTCGCCAACCAAAACCTCCCATTTGTGTTTGCCGGACACATAACCTTCAGCACCAAGGACAAAGACGCAGGGATCAAATCGCTCTGGGTTGTCAGGAACGGTCAACCGCGCAGTGTTCTCTTTCATACTGGTCAGATCATCGCTCAGGCTCAGCCACGGACATGCTGTGTTAGGGTCCAGCACTACTGGATCTGCACACACAGGAAGAAACACATTGTAAGATTTGTTGGAAATATTCCACAAGTGGAGCTATAATGAAGTATATTGCAAGCAAACGTTAGTAAATATATTTTGTAGTTCCTAAAAGGTTCTATGTACGATGGCCGCAAATGAAGAATGCAAAACATTTCTCATAACTAATATTTGTACACACACACATATACTGTATATATACAGCTAGCTTATATACATATATATACATATATACAGACATATATATGGGTATATATTACGTATTTTCCAGACTATAAGTCGCACTTTTTTTTTTACATATTTTCGGTGGGTTTGCGACTTGTACTCAGGTGCAACTTATAACCAGCTAGAGGGCACTCGAGCTGACTCGCGCGAGTTGTAGTTCGTAAAATAAGGTGTATGTGTATGTATATATATGTATATATATGTATATGTATGTATATGTGTATGTATATGTGTATGTATATGTATATATATGTGTATATATATG